CCACTCTGTGATGTCACACAGCCCATTCTGTGATGACATAGCCCTCCATGTGACCTCCCACAACCCACTCTGTGACCTCATACAGCCTGCTCTGTGACACCACACAGCCTGCTCTATGGCAGCCTGCTCTGTGATGTCACACAGCCCACTCTATGGTGACGCAGCCCACCCTGTGACTTCACACAACCCGCTACGTGACATCACCCAGCCCACTCCATGACGTCCCGCTGCCGCAGGCGTGTGCAGCCCTGCCCCGTGTCCCCCCCCCGGCGCGGCGGTGTCACCTCTGGGCAGGGGGGGGCAGCAGGCAGCCAGGCGCATGCGGGCACCCTCCGCCTGCAGCCCGCAGCGCCCGTAGGTGCCCAGCAGCTCCCGCAGGCTGCAGAACCGCCGGGCCACCCCCGAGAGCCAGAAATTCCCATCCTCGTCTCGGCGGATCAGGCAACGCTTGTAGTCCTGGCCGGAGCGGGTCTGCGGGGCGAGAGCCGGGCTCAGCGATGTGGGGTGTCCTCCCCTCCCCGTCCAAACCCCAGGACCCCCCTCCTGCCCGGTGGGTGCCCACAACAGCCCCCAGGGCCGTGCCCATCCCAAAGGGCCACCGTCCCTGCGAGCACCAGCGCTCGGCCCTGTATTTTCCCACTCCTCCCCACTCCCGGTGACGGCACGGGTGCCGGTGCCGGTCTCACCTCAGCGCAGACGGTCAGCAGATAACTGTCGAAGTCCTGGGGGCTGCGGCGCAGCAGGTACAGCCCCGGGTGGCTCCCTGCCACCTTCAGCTTATTCACTGCAAACTCGGAGCTGCGACCAGCACCAGGGGGGGGGTGGGGAGGGTCAGGAGCAGCCCCATCCCCTCTCAGAGACACCCCGGGGACCCCCATTGCTCACCCCGCCGCCACGCTCTCCCCATTCCCAGCGGCGAGGATGGGCACCGGTGCTCGCCGCTGATGTGGCTCCCACCCATGGGATTTCTTTCCCTATCACCCGTGGGTGATGGCAAGGTGGGATGGGGAGGGGGGTGTGTGGTGTCCCAGCACCCACCTGATGGGCCCGTGGCACTGGTTCTCCACGTCCTCCAAGAGCCGGGGGGGGGCCACCTCCTTGCAGAAGTAGTGGTGGGCGTCTGCCGTCAGTCGGTAGTAGCCATCGATGAGAGCCACGAAGGAGCGGGCTTCCTGCAGCGTGGGGAACTCCACCTCCTGGGGCCAGGCGAGGGGGATCAGCCCCATGCCAAACCCGGCCCCCCGCCCCCCCCTAGCCCCACCAGGGCTCCCCCCACACCCCCCCCGGCTCACCAGCACCCGGTTATCCGTCTTGGTGAGGGTGACGATGCGGTTCTCCACCGGGCCACCCTCCCGGCTTGCCTGCTTGATGCTGATGTCGGCGATGTCGGGGAAATCGCAGAAGTGCTGGCGGCTCTGGGGGGGCGGGGGACACTCGTGACTGGGGGGGGCTGACCTCCACGGGACACCCCCCACCCCCCCCTACATCACAGCCGCTGACCCGCACCTCGGAACCGCCACAGCTCCAGGAGACGCCGCTCTCGCCGGTTACGTGGATGGTGATGGCCACGGCAGAGCCTGGCGAACGCACGTGGAAACTCTCCTCGGCCCAGCGCCGCTGCAGCCGCTCCAGGTCCAGCAGGTACTTGAGCTTCAGGTAGCGTCCGTCTGTCTGGCAGCCCCCGATTTTCCGCAGGGATTTGCTGAAGCGGCGGCGGATGCGCTTACGGGTGAGGAAGCTGTGCTGCTGGATCTGGCACCGCAGCGGCTCGGGGATGCAGGACTTGTAGCTGCCCAGGGATGGGGAGGTGAGACAGCGGTGGGTGCTGGGCTGTCCCCGGGGGTGCTGGGCTGTCACCAGGGGTTCTGGGCTGTTCCAGGGGTGCTGAGCTGTCCCCAGGGATGCTGAAGGGGTGTTGGGCTGTCCCCAGGGGTGCTGAGCTGTCCCCAGGGGTGCTGGGCTGTCCCTGGGGGTGCTGGGCTGTCCCCCAGGGGTGCTGGGCTGTTCCTAGGGGTGCTGGGCTGTCCTCACGGCCCCCAGCTCACCTGACGTGGCTGAAGACCTCATCGGGGCTCTGCCGCTGCTCCTTGGCGATGCGCAGCATGTCCAGTACGGCCAGGCTCAGGCACTCCTCCTGCGTGGGCAGGCTCAGCGCCACCGCCACGCGCCCCTCGATGAAATCGCTGCGGGACTGGGGAGGGTGCAGGGGGTGGGTGGGATGGGGGGGTCCCCGCACTGGGTGCATCTCCCGCCCAGGGATGCTGCAGCCAGGAGACCCGATGTACCCCAAGCCCCCTGGGCCACGGTATTGTCCCCCTGCCATGGCTAACAGGAGCTTTTAGGGTGGCCCCCACTGACCTCTCCATCACGCTGGGCTGGCTGTGGGGCTGGGGGTGGCTCTGGCCCCAGTCCTGTGCCCCAGTGCCCACAGGAGTCACATCCTGCCCTGGGCTCTGGTTTCCTGCTGCTGACTCCATCCCTGGGGCCCGCACCAGCCCGGGGGGGGAACAGTGACCCCCATCTCAGCAACCTGGGGTGCCCCGTGCCTGCCATGGGATCCCCATGAGCAGCTCCAGCCAAGCTGGGCAGCAGAACCCCCATCCCACAGGCATTGGGGCCAGGGGCCAGTGGGTGCTGGAGGAGGAGGAGGAGGGTGGCATGGCCCAGGGTGGTGAAGGGCATCACTGCACTGAGGTTAACACGTACCACACAGCTGAGAAGCCACATGGAACCCCACCCACAGCCCCAGGTTTTGGGGACAAAGACACCAGCTTGGCAGGGCTCACCTGGGCAAAAAGGTAATCGATGACTGGGTAGTCCAGGATGGGGCTGGCCCGGTCGTTCAGCAGCTGGAAGCGGTGGGACTGTCCCAGCCCACACCAGTTGGGGAAGAAGAACCTGATGGGGAGAACGGAGGGGGCTCAGCACCATGGCCCCCAGAGCGCACAACCCCTATCAGCCCTCAGAGACTCCCCAGGGAGCCAAGCTGGGGCTGGGACGGCCGCGTCCCCGCAGGCTGTACCTGATCCTGTACACCACGACCTGGCTGCAGGAGTCGTCGACGGTGAAGAGGTGGTTGGGGGGGAACCAGCAGCTGAGATCCTCGGTGGCCAGCGCGAAGAGGGAGTGGCAGACGGGCAGCACGCCTGGGGACAGAGCGGTGCTGTCACCCCCAGGGAGGACGGGCAGGGGCAGCACCCCGAGCCCACAGCCAGCACCCCATGCTCACAGCCAGCAGCCCAAGCCCACGGCTGGCACCCTGGGCCTACAGCCGGCACCCCAAGCCCACGGCCGGCACCCCAAGCCCACAGCTGGCACCCCAAGCCCACCGGCGCCGGGGGGCCGATGCTCACCGCAGGCTTTGGCAGCACGGACGCAGAGCTCCTCGGCCGTGTACTCGCCGAAGGTGAAGGTGAGGAGTGGGGCAGCGGTGCCGGGGGGGCTGCGCGGGGTGGGTGCCCGGTGGTACAGGTACACCTGGAGGGTGCCGGTCTCGGCAGAGGAGAGGCTACAGGAGCGCTCCCCAATCAGCGGGGTGTCCTCGCCCAGCGGGGCCATGGCGGGTGCTGCGAGGCCGGGAAAGGGGGGGCTCAGCTGGCAGTACTGTCCCCCGTGTCAGTGCCGTGTCCCCCCCATGCGTGGGGCAGGACCTTGCCCCACACATGTCCTTCCCCACGCGTTTCTCTCGGCATCCTCCCCAGGATAACACCCCGCAGCCAAGCCTGCAGCATCCCCAGGCTGGGGCTCAGCCCATCCTGGGAAGGATGAAGGGGAAACTGAGGCACACAGGGCGTTTCTCCGGGTGCGTTGCTAAAGCCACCCTCCCCAGCAAGTCCCACGGCCTCTCCTCCTCTCCCATCGGCCCAGGGCCGTGCGCCCGTGCCCTGCATCGCTCCCAGGCGTGGGCGGAGGGGACTTAGCTCCATCCCTGTGCCCGGCCGGACCCCACGAAGCTCCCCGTGCTGGTGTGGTACCTGCTGCGGTGCCGGCGGGCTGGCTGGCACCCGTCTGCACCGGCCCTGGGGAGCGGGACCCCGGCAGGGCTGTGCCACTGGGTCGAGCTCGTGTAGGCGGCTGCTCCGAGTCAAAAAACCCCCTCGGTGACTTCCTTCCTGCCCGCAGCCTCCTCGGCGGGCGGCTTCCTGCTGAGAGAGGGGGTACGGGGTGGGGGGGGATGGGGGGGGCGCAGAAAGGAGCCACCCCAAGGTGCAGGGTCTAACCGGGGTTGAAGGGAGCCCCGGGCACCCCACTTGGTGCAGGACACCCCGATGCACCCGGGCACTTTGCTGGTCCTGCCGCCTCCCGGTGCTGCGGGTACCGCGGGGGTGAGCGATGCTCTGCCAGGGCACCCCAACCCCCGTCCTGTCCCACCCCATGGCGTGGGGCGAGGGGGTGGGTGCTGCCCGCACACCCCTTACCCACCCCCTGCACCCCATTGCTGGGACCCTCCCTGCCCCACTCACGGCCTCGTTGGGACGAGCTCAGCCCCTTCACCCCAGGCCTGCCCTGGCCAGTCTGGCCCCGGGGTGCCACTGGTGTCACTGGTGCCACCGTGCCTTCGGGGCCGCCGTGGGGCTGGGTGTGTGCGCAGCCCGGGTGCTGTGCAGCATCACACGCACCCGCTGGCGGATGTGGTCGGGCCCGGCAGCCCACGCTTCTTGTTTTTCCCCTTTTTGGTTGCTCCAACCAGCTCGGCAAGAAGGCAAAGCCGGGGGGCAAGGCAGGGACGGGGGTCCTGCCCAGCCCTCTCCCAGGGGACAGGTGGTGGGGACAAGGCCACCAAGGCTGGAGCCAGACCCTGGGGACCAGCAACCCTCCTCCAACCCCACGGTGATGCCTCAGCAGGGACTGTGACCCTGGGGTGGCTCTGTCCCCACGTCAGGGCCAACCCCCGCTCCCAAGGCTCATCCCTGGGGTTCAGGGCAGGGTGGGGAGGAAATCACCGTGGGACAAAACCTGCCCAGGGGCTGGGCGAGACAAAGCACCGTTTGTGCCAGGGAATGAGGAAGCCGGACCAGCCCCACGCCCAGAGGCCACATATTCCCCACGGCCAGAGCCTTCCCGCCATCCCCACGCTCACAAAGGGTCAGCAGCCCCCCAGCTCACTGGGGTAGGGGCTGCCGTGCTGCCGCTCGGGGTGGCCCAGGGTTAAGCGGGGCTGGGGTTGTGCGGGAGGGAAGGGGTTATGGATGAGGCCCCCGCCGGCTCCATCCTCCCCGCCAAGGGTCCCTCCCCGACGCCTTGAACCTGCCTCCCGCCCTCGCCCGCCCCACGGGGCTGGAGGAGCTCGAGGCGCCGCCGGCCCCTCGCCACGGCCCCACTCGCCCCTCCGACGCCTCAACGCCCGCCGAGGACATCGCAGCAGCCTCCGCCGACCCGCCGGACCCCCCACATCCCCAGGGACCCCCCACCAGGCAGCCCCTTGCTCTCCTCCTTGCTGCCTCAGCACCGGGTGCTTGCTGGGCCGCGGGTAGCTGCCTGCAAACGAGCTGCTTTTTTTCTGGGTAAAGGTTTAGCTTTGGTTTGTTTTGTCCTTTGGGTTGGAGATAAATTCGGCTCCAGCAGCGGCTCTGCCCTTCCCTGTTTGTGCTGGTCGGGGCCGGGGGGGATCTCTCCCTCACGGCCGTGTCCTTCGGGTGCCGACGCTTCCCTGGAGCCACAGAGCCGGTGACCGATGTGCTCTGGAGCAGCCGGACCGGGTGCTGCTGCTTTCCTCTCCCTGCAGGATCCAAACCGGGAGGTATTTGGGGCAATTCCCTTGCTGAGCTCTGACTGTCCCTCTCAGAGCTCCGGGCTCTGTCCTTTGCAGCCAAACACCCTCCCGGCTGCTCGGCACAGACCTTCCCAGGGACGGGGATGGGACGGGATGGGACAGGGTGGCAGCCACGCTCTCTGCTCCGTGCTCGGTCCCGTCTGCTGTGCGTCGGATGTCGGGCAATAACTGCGCGGAGTTTTCTCCCCCTCTAGTTTCGTCACCCTCGGATGTGCCGGTGCCACCGTGCCCTGGCTTAGCCGTGAGTGCTGCGTCCCCGTCTGCTCACAGGTGCCCTGCAGCAGCCACGCTGGCCCCGCCGGGGAGCCTGGAGCTGTGGGTGCCGGAGCGGCTCACCTTCAGCCTCTGGGACTACGGGGTCTTCGGCCTCATGCTACTCATCTCCACCGGCATCGGGCTCTTCCACGGCCTCGCCAAAGGCGGCCAGAAAACCTCAGAGGATTTTTTCACGGGGGGACGACGGATGTCGGCGCTGCCCGTGGGGCTCTCGCTCTCGGCCAGCTTCATGTCGGCCATCCAGGTGCTGGGGGTGCCGGCAGAGGCGTACCGCTACGGAGCCAAATTCCTCTGGATGTGCCTGGCGCAGCTGCTCAACACGCTGCTCACCGCTCAGTTCTTCCTCCCCATCTTCTACCGCCTGGGGCTCACCAGCACCTACGAGGTGGGCACGGGGAGGCGTGGGGGGGAGGATAAATCCTGCTGCGGAGCAGCCCCCGGAGCACCCCGATGCTGGGCCAGCCCCGACGCGCTCCCTTGTCCTTGTCCCCAGTACCTGGAGCGGCGGTTCAGCAGGAGCGTCCGGCTGTGCGGGACCGTGCAGTACGTGGTGGCCACGGTGCGTGGCCACGGTGCCTGGGTGGGATGGGGACGGCGGGGACATGGCACTCGGTGGGGGTTTGGATCCGGCTGTGCCGGTGCTGCCCTGAGCTCCCCCCCCGGGAAGCGTCCTCGTTCCCGTGCTCGTGTTTTCCGTGACTCAAAGCAAACAGCTCCCGGCGGGAGCCCTGTTTGGAATGAAAACCTCGGTGTTTTCCCAGCGCCATGCTTGGGCGGCACCGTCACGTTTCATCCTTGTCCCTGTGGGCGCAGGCGTCACCTTCCCGGCGCCCGCAGTGCCGGTGGGACGGGGTGCTGACCCCCCCCCCCCCCCCCTCTTTTTCCCGCAGACGCTGTACACGGGGATCGTCATCTACGCCCCAGCCCTGATCCTCAACCAAGGTTCGGTGGGGAGGTGGGGGCTGCTCCCCAACGTGTCACAGCATTGGGGACATCTCAGCCCTGTCCCACCCCCGGTGTCGTTTAGACCCTGGGCCTCTGCTCAGCACCTTCCCTTCCTCCTCAGTGACCGGGTTGGACATTTGGGCGTCCCTGCTCTCCACCGGCATCATCTGCACCTTCTACACCACCATAGTGCGTGTGGGAATGGGGGGGGGGGGGGGGGGGGGAGTGCGGGGCGGTCCCCAGGGTCCCCAGGGGTCCCTGGTGCTCACTCCCGGCTCCGTCTGGCGCAGGGCGGGATGAAGGCTGTCATCTGGACGGACGTCTTCCAGGTCTTCGTGATGCTCTCTGGCTTCATCGCCATCATCATCCGGGGGGTGCTGCTGGTGGGGGGTCCCGCCAGGGTGCTGGGCATCGCTGCCAACGGCTCCAGGGTGAACTTCGGCGAGTGAGTCCCTCCCACCCTGCTGCGCCTTGACCCCGCTCCCCCCCGTCCCGGGGGTGCTGGGGGGTCGGTGCCAGACCCAGCTCACCCCCCTCCCGGTGGCATGCCGGTGTGCCCAGCTTCAACCCGGACCCGCGGAGCCGGTACACGGTCTGGACCTTCCTGCTGGGCGGCACGCTGGTCTGGCTCTCCATGTACGGCGTCAACCAGGCCCAGGTCCAGCGCTACGTGGCCTGCAGGACCGAGAGGGAGGCCAGGATGTGAGTCCCGCGGGGATCCTCAGGATCCCACTCGGCGTGGGATGGCACACAGGGGCGAGGGGATGCTCTGGGAATGGAGGGGGGGAGGGGGGGGGTGGCTGCCTGCCCCCCTCCTGCAACCCAGTGCCTGCACCCCTGTGTGACCCCAGCACCCTTGCACTGACCCTGCAGGGCTTCTGCACCCCTGCACAGCCCCGCACAGATTCTGCATCCCTGCACAGCCCCTGCACAGATCCTGCGCCCCTGCACGGACCCTGCACAGCCTCTGCACCCCTGCATTGTCCCTCCATGCTTGCGTGGACCCTGAACTCTCGCACTGACCCCGCAACCCTGCATGGTCCTGGCACCCCTCCATGGACCTTGCACAGACCCTGCACGGACCCCTCAGGAAACCTGCACCCCTGCATGGCCCCTGCACCCCTGTATTGCCCCTGTCTGCTTGCATGGACCCTGTACTCTGCAACCCTGCACAAACTCTGCACCCCTGCACAGACCCTGCACACAAACTCTGCACCCCTACATTGCCCCTGCACGCTTGCATGGACCCTGCACCCCTGCACAGACCCTGCCGGGACCCTGTATCCTTTCACAGACGCTTGCACAGACCCTGTATCCTTGCACAGACCCTTTCATGGACCCTCTATCCTTGCACAGATCCTTGCATGTACCCTGCACCCCTGCATGGACTCTGTATCTTTGCACGGACCCTTGCATGAACCCTGTATCCTTGCACAGACCCTTGCACGTATCCTGCACCCCTGCACAGACCCTCTATCCTTGCACAGACCTTTGCACAGACCTTTGCACAGACCCTGCAACCCAGCACAGACCCTGCAGCCTTGCACTGACCTTGCACCCCTGCACAGACCCTCTATCCTTGCACGGACCTTTGCACGGACCTTTGCACGGACCCTGCAACCCAGCACAGACCCTGCAGCCTTGCACGGACCTTGCACCCCTGCACCCCACAGGGCACCCGCCGCCCTGCTCAGCCGGGCGTGCTCCCACCCTGTGCTTGCAGGGCGCTGCTGGTGAATCAAGTGGGGCTCTTCTGCATCGTCTCCAGCGCGGTGGCCTGTGGCCTTGTGATGTTTGCGCTCTACAAGGACTGCGACCCGCTTCTCGCTGGCTACATCTCGGCCCCCGACCAGGTACCAACCCCTGCGGCTCTGCTCTCTCCAGCACCAAATTGAGGGCAGTGAGGTGGAAGGGCGAGAGGGCGGGAGGGGTGGGAGCCCTGGGTGCCTGTCCCAGCCCTGCCGCGGGGGCCCCCAGGGTCCTGCCCCCCCCCCCCCCCCGCCGACACAGCCATGTCCCCCCACAGTACATGCCCTACTTGGTCCTTGACATCTTCGAGACGTCCCCGGGGGTGCCGGGGCTGTTCCTGGCCTGTGCCTACAGTGGGACCCTCAGGTGAGGCTGGGGCACCCCTCGCCCCAAGGGGACCCCCCCCCCCGCCCCCCCCGCAGGCTGCTGGGGCTGAGCATTGCCGCCTGCCCGCGCCACAGCACGGCCTCCACCAGCATCAACGCCATGGCAGCCGTCACCGTCGAGGACCTCGTCAAGCCCAGGATGCCCACGCTGTCACCGCGGAGGCTCACCCTTATCTCCAAGGGGCTGTGTGAGTGGGCACGGGAGCCGTGCCGTGCTGTGCCGTGCCATGCCTTGCTGTGTCATGCTATGCCACGCCGTGCCACGCCATGCCTTGCCGTGCCACGCTGCGCCATGCTAGCCCAGCCAGTGATGTACCGTACCATGCTATGCTGTGCCACACCGTGCCGTGCTGTGCCATGTTGTACCATGCCATGCTGTGCCATGACATGCCATGCTGTGCCATGCCATCCTGTGCCATGCCGTGACATGCTAGCCCAGCCAGTGATGTGCCATGCTGTGCCATCCCATGCCATGTTGTGCCGTTCCATCCCGTGCCATGCTGTGACATGCTAGCCCAGCCAATGATGTGCCGTGCCGTGCCATGCTGTGCCATGCCATGCCATGCCACGCCATGCCGTGCTCCCTCCATCCTGTGCTGCATGGCACTGTTCTGTGCCATGCCATGGTGCCCAGCATGGTGCCACTCTGTGCCGTGCCAAGCTACCTTGTCCTGTGCCATGCTGCACTGCACCGTGCCGTGCTATGCTGTGCCATGCCGTGCTGTACTGTGCTGTGCTGTGATGTACTGTGCCGTGCTGCACTGCACCGTGCCCTGCTGTGCCACGCTGTGCCATGCCGTGTTGTGCGGTGCAATGCTGCACCGCACCATGCCGTGCTGTGCCACGCTGTGCCATGCCGTGCTGTGCTGAACCTTCCCGGTCTCCCCCGCAGCGCTCATCTACGGCACCTCGTGCATCACGGTGGCAGCTCTGGCCTCGCTGCTGGGCGGCGGTGTGCTGCAGGTGAGCCGTGCCGTGCCGTGCCGCGCCACAAGACCCACCACGGGGTCAAGGTCACCCCGCTGCCCCCCCAGGCGTGCCCACCGGCTCTGCCCAGCCGAGTGGGACGCGGCCACACGCCGCTGGCTGCCAGAGAGCCCTCGAGCTGGCTGGGCTGCAGCGGCTGGGGGGGTTTGGGGGAGAGCCAAGCCCCTTCCTCCCCCTCCTCCTCCTCCTCCGAGCCCCCCGAGCCGGGGCAGTGGGGCAGAACTCTCCCCCCTCCCCCCCCTCCCCCCCACTTTCCAGGGCTCCTTCACCGTCATGGGGGTGATCAGCGGCCCGCTGCTGGGGGCCTTTGTCCTGGGCATGTTCCTACCAATGTGCAGCACGGCCGTGAGTCCCGGGGGCGGGGGGGTTGGGGTTTTGGGCAGGTGGGGGGAAAGTTTCCAGGGGGTTGGGGTTTTTGAGATGGGGTGTGTGTGTGTGTGTGTTTCCAGAGGGTTAGTGTTTTGGCAGGGGGTGTGTGTGTGTTTCCAGGGCACTGGGGTTTTTGAGGTGGGGAGTGTGTGTGTGTGTGTTTCCAGGGCGTTGGGGTTTTTGGGGTGTGGGGGGGTGGTGTGTCTTTCCAGGGGTCCCCCCACAGCCTGCCCCCCCCCCACCCCCTGGGGCTGTGCGGACCCCTCTCCTCCACCGCAGGGCGTGCTGGGGGGCCTGGGCACCGGCTTCGCCCTCTCCTTCTGGGTGGCGGTGGGGGGCACCCTGTACCCCCCCAGCGCGGCGGCCGCGGGGGTGCTGCCCACCTCCGGAGCCCTCTGCCCGCTCTACAACCGCAGTGCCGGCGCCAACCGCAGCATCCTGCTGGGACCCCTGCCCCCCCGCCACGACCCGCCGGCACCAGCACGGTGAGGGGGGGGCCGGCCCAGGGAGCGCGGGGGGCTTGCCGGGATGGCACACTGCTTTCCTTGTTCCTTGTGACGTCACACCATTTTCCTTGTGATGTCACACTGCTTTCCCTCTCTGCTGTTCTGTCACGCTGCTGTCCATGTTCCTCATGATGTCATTAGCGCTTCCTTTGTTCCTTGTGATGTCACACCATTTTCTTGTTCCTTGTGACATCACACCACTTTCCTTGTTCACTGTTATGTCACACTGCTGTCCTTGTTCCTTGTGACGTTACAGTATTTTCTTTGTTCCTTGTGACATCACACCACTTTCCCTCTTCGCTGTTATGTCGCACTGCTGTCCTTGTTCCTCGTGATGCCATTAACACTTCCTTTGTTCCTTGTGACATCACACCATTTTTCTTGTTCCTTGTGATGTCATGCCGCTTCCCCTGATCCCTGTGACGTCACGCCGCTGTCTCTGCGGGTCCCTGACCCCCTCCCCTCGCAGGCCAGCCATCCTGGGGGATTTCTACGCCATCTCCTACCTGTACTACGGGGCACTGGGGACCCTCACCACGGTGGCGGTGGGGGTCCTGCTCAGCTCCCTGCCAGGTGAGGCTGGGGACCGGGAAGGGGTGTGACGCAGCGTTGGGGGTGTCGTGTGTGTGTCCCCCCTCCATGACACGCGCCCCTGCCCCCCCCCCCCCCCCCCTTTTCCAGCAGGGCTGACCAAGCGGACACGGCTGCCCCCAGGCGTGCTGTGGTGGGACATCACGAAGCAGACATCCTCGGTGGCCCCCACGGGTGTCAAGACCCCCGGGGAAGAGCCCCTGGGCAAGGGCGAAGCCCCCCAGGCACTGGTGGCGAGGCCGGAGAGGGAGGATGCCCCCCACTGTATCCCCCCCAAGCCCCCCACTGCCACCGACCTCCTGCTGCAGGAGACCCACGTGTAGGGTGCTGGGGGGACACACACGTCCCTGTCCTGGGGTCCCCAATAAAGGAGGAGCCGTTGCCAGGGAGGAGCCTGTCCTGGGGGGGCCGCGGGGGGGGTGGGGGGGGTGGGGAGGGGGACAATGCACACATGGCTGCCCACTCCTCTTGGGGGGGGGGGGGGGGCAGTGTCAAAGTGGGGCAGGAGGAGGTGGGGGATAAGCCCCACCCAGCCAGGTGACAATGGGCCCCACCCTCTTAAACGCAGCTCCCCCCAGATGGCCAGAGGCCACGCCCTGCTAAGCCCCCGCCCCAAGTGACCGTCCACCCTACTAAGCCCCACCCCATCCCACAACAACGGGCCCCGCCCTGTTGAGCCACGCCCACTCATGGGCTCTGCCCTGCAGAGCCGCGCCCACCCAGATGATAGCCCTGTTAAGCCACGCCCACCTAGATGACACGGGACCCCGCCCTGCTGAGCCACGCCCACTCAGACAACAATGGGCTCTGTCCTGATAAATCCACCAGGTGACAACAGGCCCCGCCCTGTTAAGCCACGCCCACTCAGAGGACAACGACTTACACCCTTTCAGTCCCCGCCCACCCAGGTGCAGCTGGCCCCGCCCACAGCCGCTGCCGGAGCCGCCAGCCCGGGGGCGCCGCCATCTTTGTGCCGGGCAGGGGCGGCGGCGGCAGCAGGCGGAGTCCGCGCTCCCCGCCGGCCTTCCCGCCGCGCTGCGGGCGCTTCCGTGGGCGGGAGCTTCCGCCGGGCCCGCCGCTCCCCGCCACCGCCGGTGGCACGGGCAGAGCCGCCCGTGCCCTCAGCAAAGATGGCGGCGGCGGGATGCGCGTCCCTCCGGCGCCGCCCGCCCCGCCCCTCCGGCGGTAGCGACCACCGGTGACGCGCAACGTGCGCGACGGCCGGGGCGGCGGCGGGGACCGGGTAGGAGCGGGCCCGGGCCCGGGCGGTGGGTTCAGGCCTCGGGCTCGGCCTGAGGGGAGGGAACGGGCCGGAGGGGCGGCGAGGAACGGGGGGGAGAGGGGAAGGGCTGGGGGGGGAGCAGGGGGGAGGCCGGGGGTGGGATTTGAGGGGAGGGGGAAGGGTTGGGGAGGGGGGAGGCAGGCCCGGGCTTTGGGGGAGGTCAGGGGGCTGAGGGGAGAGGCCGGGGATTTGGGGAGGGGATGGAGGGGGGAAAACTGCCCCTTTCCTGAGCAAACGCGGAGGGGCAGCCGGGGGGGCGGGCCGTGCCGTGGGGAGGGGGCTGTGCCGTGGGGAGGGGGGGGGGTCTGTAGCACCCCAAAATGATGTGGGATGCTGGGGACGCTGGCGTGGGGCAGGGCCCCGCTTGTCCTGCCCAGGGAAGGGGCTCGGCCTGGGCAGGGACCGGCAGGGCGGCTCGGGGCGGGCTGGCACCGGGTGCGGGGCTGGAGGAGCAGCCCCTGGGATGGGCGATGCATCCCGCGCGCATCATTGCCCCGGGGGGACCAGCCCAGGTCGTGCACTTCACGAAGGGTTTGAGCAGGTTTTGGGGAGGAGAACGGGTTTAGTCCAGCCCAGGCTTTAAAAAGTTTGGGTCACGAGCAGATGGCCATAAAGAGCAGCTCTCCTCTGTTGTTTCTTGTTCAGCAAATAGTTTTCTGCCATTAGAAGTAAAGATTTAAGATCAAGAATGCAGTGGCTGCATGGGCAGCCTGTTAAGAAGGGCCTCTCATAGTGCCAAGTTAATTTTCTGTCTGGTTTTTAGGACTTTTCCTACCCTGACAATGTAGGGGTAATTAATATGGCACTTCTGCGTGGTCATTTACCCAAGTTAAACGGGGCCCCGGGGCTGTTTCTGTGCAGTCAGGGGGTGTGATACAGCACTTGTGCTGGTTCACCCTCCTCTGCTGGCAGCAGTGAATTCCCCTCGGAGCCTGTTGATGCATAATGAAAGCACCCAGCTTCCTTTTGAGTCAGCAGCAGACAGTGTTTTGTCTTGCAGGGCAGTGGTGCTTTTTACTTGGTACCAGGAACCCAGGAGCTTGATTTGTCGTGTGGTTGCAGCACAATAAATCGGCAGGAGGGACTGTCCCCTGCTGAGGATCTGGGGTGGAGTGAGCACAGTTCCTCCTGGCTGAGTTGGGAGATTGCTAGATCGGTTCTGCCTGGGATCTCGAAATAGTGTGAGGCAATAAGAACAGGGGGTTTTCATGGTGTGAACTCCAGCTGTTCCTGCTTCCCAGGTTGACAGTGAACCCAAGATCCTGGGCAGGAGAAGGATCTGAACCTCCTTTATTCTCCACAGAGTGATGCCCAAGAAGTTCCAGGGTGAAAATACCAAGTCGGCTGCTGCCCGCGCAAGGAAAGCTGAGGCAAAGGCAGCAGCCGATGCCAAGCGGCAGCAGGAGCTGGAAGATGCCTACTGGAAGGATGAAGACAAACACGTGATGAGGAAGGAACAAAGGAAGGTGAATGGCTAGTCAGGTACCAGGGGATCTGCTAGCTGGTCCTCTGCTAAGCCCGGGAGAGCCAGGCTTGCTCGGAAAGGGTTGTTTCTCCTCCTCTGTCCCCCAGCTGTAGCTGTCTCTCTGCACATTGTCCTGCAATTAGTTTCAGGCAAAAGAGCTGGAACTAGTGGCTTCTCTGGGAGCTAAAAGAAGCCGAGTGTGGGAGTAGGTGTAAGCTCTGATGTGTAATTCGGAAATCTGGTGGATCTTAGAGCTGACTTCCTGAGGGAGGCAGTAAAAGCTTTATTGTCAGAGTCATTTAAAATTGAATTAAGTAAAAGATCAGGAACTTTGCTGCAGAGCTTGATTTTTAACCAAGTAGTTCTTTAGGTTTTTTTTCTTCCTTTTCCTTTCTTAACTTTTCTTTCATTTTTGAGAAGGAAAAATAAATTAGCAGGGTTAAGGATTACAAAGGGGGTTTTTTCCTCCCTAACTTGGTGTGCCCTACATCAGGACACGTCCCTCAAAAGATCTCTCCAGGTTGTTCTTACCACCTTGCTCTGCCCTCAGTGTCTGTTTTCCTCAGTGCTCAATAAACAGAGCACTTCAGTGCTCGTTTCTGGGTTATTTGGTTTTTAACAGTGTCCTGCATCAGCATTAGACAAATCTGCCTTCCGGTTTTGTGGATTTTTTCCGGAAGCAGTTGGTGATAACTTAGCTGCCTCTTCCGAAATGATTTCTTCACCCTTGTGCTAAGCAGACAGGGCTTCTACTGATGACATAAATGGGATTTATGGGGTTACTGGGTTTGTGCTGCTCTGTGAATTTAGTGGTTACTGAACTTTGTGTGTTGGTACCCGAGCACACTGGCTGGGCAGGCAGGGAGCCAGCGCGCCCCTGTGACCTTGGTAGCTGTGTACATCTGTGTGAGTTCACCCCTAATATGTGTCTTGACGTTTGGAATTTGGAGTCCTGTGTGCTGTTCCCCCATGCAATCCTGTAATGCTGCCTAATTACTTCCTGGAACAAGGACTTATTACTGCTCTACTTAAGACTTGGCCAACAGTGACCTATTTGACTGGGCTTCCAAAACAGCCTCCTGCAGCCAAAGGGGCATGGGAGTCTGGAGAGGGGAGCCATGTCACGAGCTGGAATTGCTAACTGGAAAACCAGGGTTCATCCCAGAGCCTCAGACTGGGTTTGAGAGAAACCACTGAGGCAGTTTCAGCACCTCAGCCGTTCCCTCTCCCTGCATCATCATAGCTGTAGTTTCTAGGTCTGAATTTCACCCAAATGCTGTGTTTTAGTGCGTTCGCTTCCCACAAAGCCCCCCAGGGATGTGCAGCTCGCAGCAGCAAAAGTCTCTGCTCGGATGAGGAGCTGTCCTGCTAGCAAGGCTCCGAGTCTAACTGTACCTGCACAGGGGGAGCCTCACGCAGGCACTGCCACAACCTAAGCAAACGCTGGGGCTTTGTTTAGGCGGGTGAGTGGCCAACAGACAGGAACGAGTGGGTTGCTGGGGGAAAAGAAATCAGTGAAACCTTCCTCGGCGGCTTCTCCAGTGTCATCAGGCTGGAATATCCCTACAGAGAATGGAAGAAGCTGCCAGTGCCCCATCGCATCCCGTCAGGGAAGGAATGTGTGACTCAGATTGTAAATGACTTTCCATCCTTATCCTAGAGAAGGACAGAAACCAAACTGTTCACACAGGAGTCAAACTTCCCCGGAGAAGTAGCTGTTTCGCGGGTGGTGCTGGCATGGAAATAGCGCTGCTGGCCACGGCCATATGCTGCAGGAGGGACTCGTGTCGCTCTCAGCGGCAGCACCCGGAGGAGGGGATGGCAGTGTGTGTAGGAGGATGCTCTCAGCACCTCGCAGTCAGCGCTGAGCAGCTTTTTCCAGCTCTTCCCCAGCTCTCCGGGCGATGGCAGTAACACATTAACGGTGTTGCAGCGCACCCATGCAGCACCTCTGAATTCCTGCACTGCCAGCAGGCAGGAGTGCCTGAAAGCCTCAGGGACGTGCCGAGACCAAACCCACGCACCCCTTTTAATCTCTTTCCCCCACAGACGACCACTGGAGCCTCAGTGAAATGAGGGTGCGGAGCTCTGTTGCTGTTCCAGGGTTCGGTGGCTCTGCATGGTGAGCTGGTGGCCTCGCTGGCGGGGCAGCGATGCATGTCAGCGTTAATACTTAAGCATAGTGGAGCTTAATGTTCAAAATGCGGTGCCTGCCGCCGTGAGATTCACTGTCACCAGACGACTGTCCTGTTGTTTGCTTTTGCTGCGTTCTGGGGTTTCTTTAAGCGCCACCACCCCCTGCTCTGAGAGCAACTGTCCTCTGCTAACAGAGGGTGACACTCGTTTGGTGGCTCTGTGATGCATAAAGGAACATCTGAGCTGATATCACCAGCCTGCGATGTGTGTATTCCTCCTCTGGCACTTCAAGTCACAGCTTGTTACCTTCCCTGGAGAGCTCTGGCTGGAAAGCACAAAATCTTCATCCTTCTGGATGCAAGACTCAGGGTTTTACCTAGGTAACTGCTTTTCTTTTAACGTTCGGGTGTTTTCATCCTTTCTGTCCCTTCCCACTCTTCCTACGCAAGGTTAGACTGCGGCTCAAAGCACAGCACTCCTCCTCAGCCTGATCACAGTGGGGTTTTCTCCGTGCAATTAGCTAAAGTGTGTCTGGTGGTGAAACAGCTACGGACGCACGTGTGTCCTGGGTGAAGCTGCGGGCAGGCTTGGAAGGGTGACAAACCATTAAATCTGCTGGAGCGTTACGGGAAGAAAGGACCAGAGGAGTATCTGTTGAGGACAGAGGTCTCGCAGCTGATGTCAGACCTGCTTCTCTCTGCCCACCTTGGGATTAGCTGCTGTGGGCACGCACGGGAAGATCTTGCTGGCTGGGACTGCTGCTGGAGCCTAGGTGTCTGCTGGAAGGATGCAGCCAAATTCCCAGTCTCCTTCCCAAACTCTCGCTGGGGCTGTCTGGCTGAGGGAGGCCAAGCCTTTCTTCCCATTCAGGCTGTATTTCGCCCGGGCTCTCTTTGTTGGGCGCCCGTATGCCAGGAAAACAATTCCTCCTTGCTCAGCAGCGGCTCAGAACCCCGTTGCGCCTTTCTCTCTGCCCAGCACATCACAGCATCAGCAGCCCCCATCCCGCAGAGGCCCCTCCCGCAGCTCTGCTCGGTGCCCTCGGCGGGAACGGTGAAGGGAGGGTGTGCGAGTGATGTGGGAACGAGGAGGCTTTTTGTACTTGTGCTGCGGGGCCTGGGGAAAGATTCAAGTTCAGTGCAGGGTGAATACTTGTGCTAGAAGGGTGCAGATGGTGCACGAGGGAGCCAGGACTCTCTTGGTGCGAGTTTTATGCTTTTTCTCGTTCCCGTTAGCCTCGGTCGCGGGGTGTGGGCTGGCAGGCTCGTGTACCGACAGGTCCCAGCTGCAGTGGTATCGCAGACAGGCGAGTGGTGACTTTCTCTCCCCCCCCCCTCGCTTCTGATTCAGTGCAGAATTACTCAGCTGTGAGCACCAGCTCTTATTCAGATAAAATGCGAGACAGGTCAAATGACTGTTCTTCCTCCTTTGGAGGACGGCTGCGTGGTACCAGGTACGCAATACTGAAATCTGATGGTTTGAATGAGCAATGCAGGGGAGAGAGGTGTAGCAGAGAAACACTTGACAACACCAGGCTGGGCTTTAAACCCCAAACCCGACTTTTTCAGGCTCCTGTATCCCTTTGATGCTTGCTTTGACTGCCTGTGGGCGACGGAAGGGGCATGTTTGACCCCGTCTCAAAGCTCCGGTGTACCTCGGAGAGCCCAGCGAGCACTTAGACATACTCCAGGCTGGTTATGCCCCGCTTGCTTTCTGACTGCGTCATTTTTTTGCATCGCTTTGCCCTTCTGCCGTGCGAGAAGCGGCGTGTTTCGCCAGGCTGGCAGCACGCTCTCCAGCCCTCCTCGGGGCCTCATGCAAAGAGGTTGATTGGGAGCGCTGCTGCTTCAATTGACCGCTTCCTCTCAAAGCCATGTGCGTGGGACCTGGTTCTCCTCCTGTCTAGCAGGTGGGAAGCTGTTCTGAAAGCTAATTAATTGTTCCTTGCTCAGGCAGTTCTCTGCAAGGCTGGAAACCCGCATTTTAAATCCCAGGTCCTTGGGAACAGAAGTGTCCGGTTAAAAACATCTCGCCCGGTGCCCTGCAGCGTGCAGCAATGTTGAGGGAGAACATTATTAATTTCCTTTCCAGTTTTCTAATAGCTTTGCGGTATGTTTCACTTAGACAAATCCAAGCGTCCCTTTCATCAGAACATTTAAGCTGATTCATAAAGATTCGTTTGGTTTGGCCCAACCTGAGAAAAGTCTTCAAAAATGACAGCTTCAGGCCCCTTGGGATGTGGGATTGGCTCAGAGCTGCTGCTTTTGAGCACCGTGGAAGGTGCAGAGCAGACCTGAACGTGACGGGCTGCTGGGGGAAACCTGAGCACATAGATTTTGCAGGTCTTGTGACAAATTAGTAGCAGTGCCAGCTTATTTACTTTCCGCAAATAGAAACTCAATTGTAAATGCCAGAGCAGGGAGTAGCTTACCCCAGCAGCTGGGGGAGAGGAGTAGCTGCAGGTCCCCTGCAGCACTCAGTACTGGAGGAAGGCTCTGCACCCCACTTGTGCCTCTGTTTTCCCCATTGTGAAGTGGATGTGTCCTCTCTGGAGAGTTTTGTTTGAAAGGAGCCAGCAGCAGCAGAGCATTATCCTTGAATTTCTGCTCTGTCAGATGTGTTGGTGTCCCAGCTGGGGCTGTGTGATGTGAGACAGGCTGCTGAGCTAGCTGACTTGGAGGACAGTTCCCTTTCTGTAATAAGCAGGGGTAAAAGATAATCTTCTCTAACTATAAATAACATTTCTGTTCTTAAATGTCTTGCTCCCTTCCCTTAGGTCATTAGTACTTGTGTATTCACTCCTTATCAGTCTCCTGAATTATTCAAACCACAGCCACGCCCGCAGCCTTGCTGAGGTGCTCACCATGCCAGCACCTTCTCTGTGGTACCTTCTTCAGTCACCCCAGAAGCTCAGAGTTGGGACGAGCAGCATGGGGACAGTTTCTTTGCACTAGCCTGTGTTCTAGGCACAATACCAGTACCCTGAATGCGCAGTGCTGCTTCTCTTGCATGTGCTTTACATCTAATTAAATGGCTTACTCTCCCTGACTGCTCAACCTTCAGTGATTTCTGTGGCCCTCCTGTTTTGGCACATTAATCTCTCCAGTTTGGGGGCTTCTCCTGCATTCTTCCTTAAAACTGCCTGCTGCGCAAGCAGAGGCTGGTGGTTGAGCTGGAGATCCCATTGAGCTGGAGCTATCCTGCACTCTGCTGAGTGAGGGTGGACAAAGCCCCTACGGCTGCTCTCGCCCAGGTATACCCCCTGAATGAGTTTTTAGGAGGTTAGGATTGTCTTCCCGCTCCTCTCGTGACACCTTTCCTGTTCCAAAAGTGGCCGAAATCCCTCGTAATCTGGGAGACAGAGTACATTTGTTTACTCAACCTTTACTAGAAGAGGGAGAGGCCTGACGGGAAAGCTGGTGTCTTAAATAAGGGAGTTTGCACTTTGAAATCATGCATGGTCCAGTTGCTGGGGCATTGTGTCTCAAGGCACTGGCACTAAGCACTTAATGACCAGGAAATTGAAGACTGCCAGTCGAAATAAAGGCTCCAGCCCTCTAATGGCGTTTTTCCCATCCTTGGCCCCAGCTGCTTGGAGTGGGGTGATGAGCCTTCCCTTTCCTTCCCAGCCAGGTTGAAAGGCCTGCTCCTTGCTGGGGGAAGCAGCAGCTGCTCGAGGGTGTGTTTTGATTCAGCATTTGTGGGCTCTGATTCTGTGTTTTGGTGAGTTTTTCTTTAAACTCTTGAGCTGTGGAGTGATTTACAGGTTTTTTATTTAACAGAGTCTCAAACCCCAGCCTTGCTTACCATCTCTGAAGTGGGCCCTACCCCAACACGAGTAATTCTGCTCCTACTACTCAAGCACCGATGAAGACAGCGGGTTGGATTTCTGCTGGGGTGGTTTTGCAGTGCAGCTGCCTTTGAGTAAACCCGTTCCATTAACGCTCGATCAGGTTGTTGTGCCATCCCTGTGAATAATGGATGAGAGCCATAATTAAGTGTCCATGTAACTAACCTAAATGTGAAATGCTTTGCAGCATGTGACGCTGCCCCAAAGAGATGTTCTCTTGTTGTTTCTTTCTTTTTGCCAGATCTTATAGGCTTGGGGAGAGGAGGAAAAAAACTCGAAGCCAAAGTGGTGAAAGCTCTTAAGGGCCTGTTGCATGGTCTTGTCACCCTCTTCCCTGGGCCTTGGAGGGCAAAGTGGCTCTTAAACTCCTGGAGCATTTTAGAATTACCACAAGAGCCGCATTGCTTGTTGGATTCGGTCTAATCCCCTGTCCCAGCTCTTAGGAAGAGTGTGAGCCAGGCCTGAGGACGCATTCAGCCTCTTGACTGGCTTGTCTCAAACAACTGCTGAACTTTCAACCTCGAACCACTTATTAAAATTAAAGTGGAAAACTTAATCTGATTGTCAGCAGGCCCTGGCTGGTACCTCCTGCTCCTTCTCAACAGCAGGGTTGTGTTTCGCAGTACTGACATCAGGGGAAGCCAGCATGTGGTTGCAGATGGGGCAGGGACAGGGGAATTATTATTCTGACAGGACAGGACAGGCCCTCGCTGTCTTGCTGGAGGTCGGGGGGAACGAGCCACCATCCTCTCTGATAAGGTGAAGTGCTGCCTTAGCTACAGAAGTGAGGTGCCTGCTCCTGTTCAAGTGGGGTTCCCTGCTCCTGTAAGGGATAATTTGATCCCTGTGCCACTCGAAGGCGTAAGGGTAAAGGTGACCTCGTCCTTTCATCCTTCCAGGAAGAGAGGGAGAAGCGGCGGCTGGAGCAGCTGGAGCGCAAGAAGGAGCTGCAGCGCCTGCTGGAGGAGGAAGACTCGAAGCTGAAAGGGAAGTCGCCCAAGCAGGTCACTCCGGGCAAAGTCACCAGGGCCCAGATCGAGGAGACGATCAGAAAAGACCAGCAGCAGAAGGAGAATGCAGATACAGGTTTGGTGGTACCACAGAAAGGCCCTGACAGCCGCAGGGGGCTGGGGAGCGGGAAGGGAGGGCTGTTCCTTTTTCACCCACTGTCGCTGAAGGACAGGGTGTTTGGAAGGCAAGAGCTGCCTGCAGCTACTCTGTGCCGCGTGCTTTGCTGTGTCTGTGACTAACACCCAAATGGGGGAAGAAGAAACCTCCTGTCACCGTGAGGTGGAGAAACAGAGCTGCAGAGCAGCCACTCTTCTCTTCCAGGACTGGGACCTAACTCTGGCTGAGTTTCCGCAGCACTTTCTTTAGACTGCTTTGGAAAACCCTCTTCTGAGGGTTTTGTGCAGGCTGGACTTGCCATTAACGGCTCTCCCTTTCCCCCCCCTCCCTGTGCAGTGGAGAAGGAGAAGACTCACTTGGAGGTCCCCTTGGAGGAGAACATCAACAGAAGGGTACTGGAGGAAGGATCAGTGGAGGCCAGGACGATTGAAGATGCCATTGCTGTCCTCAGGTACGTGGCCATATCATAGCAGTGCTCTCCTCTGAAGGTGTTGCTTTCCTTACAAGAAATTCTTGCAGATACTCCCTTCCCCAGAACTGCCTTCTTTTTCTGCTTTGACTGTGACTTTCTATCTTGACAGCAAGAGCAGGACACGTCCCCTGCCCTGTTGTTCTGTGAAGAGTATTTGAAGTGGGTAGGGGAAGTATCACGGGGTTTTCTGCTTTATCACCCAAGTTATTCTTTATGCACTTGGTTGTGCTGGCAGGGGACCAGAGAGGAGCAAGAGGCTGGTGCCTGCGGGGGGGTGTCTCTGACGTGTGTCTCCTCTGAATTCCCTCCCGGCAGCGTTGCCAATGATCTGGACCGTCACCCTGAGCGCCGGATGAAAGCTGCCTTCACAGCTTTTGAAGAGGTCAATCTGCCACGCCTGAAGCAAGAGAACCCCAACATGCGCCTGTCCCAGCTCAAGCAGCTCCTCAAGAAGGAGTGGATGAAGTCTCCAGAAAACCCCATGAACCAGCGGCACAAAGCTTACAACAGCCAAAAGTAGAACTAGAGCTGATCATCCTTCCCTGGACAGTGGGCTGGAGCCCCAGGGCTCTGCTCTGATAAAAACAGGAGACACCAGGAACCTCCTCTCCTTTTGTTTCTCTTCCCCACCCCCACTTTCTGTCTTTCTCTGTTCTTGGATTTAAGATAAGCACGAGGTCACAGCTCACCTGGGGACCCTGCAGTGTCCTGCTGTCTTCACTGACAGCCTGTGCCCCCCCCAACATGCTCACCCCTCCACAGGCAGCTGGTGCAGCGCGACCTGGATGGACTAACACTACCTTCCCACTTCCGAATTTGGTTGTTATTACAAAAAAAAGCTACTAACTCGCCTCCAGACCTTCAGCATGGGCAGCGCTTGCGAGGTGCAGTGTGGGGACCCCCCCCACACCCGCCCCGTGCTGTCTAGCACCGCGCATTAACCCGCTCACAGCCTGGACCTCAGCCTAACTGCATTCATCCCTGCCTCTACAGTGGCTGCGCCGCACCCTCGTGCTCTGCGGGGTGAATTTTTGCAACTGTCACGAGGAAGGCACCCGCCCTCTCTTGCTCATGTCATCCTTGGTGCTGGGATGGCCCCGAAGAGATTCCAAACTGGGATTGCTGTTGGCCCAGCCTGCTGCCCGCCACCTCCCTCCTCTTGATCTCTCCCAGCGCTGCGTTAGGTGGGGAGGAGGAACCGCAACGGGAGCAGAAGCTCTGTCAGCATGGTGGTGTGAGGAAGAGAGAAAATAACCTTCCGTCTTCAAGGAGGAATGGGAGAGATAACACAGCACAGCGTGGTTCCTGCCTTGTCCACGCAGGATGCTGGTGCCAGACTTCTCTGTGTGACTTCCCTGCTGGCCTTGCCCAGACCCTCACGCACTGCTGGTGGGACAGGAGGGTTCCAGGAGGGGCTGCAACCCCGCACCACCCAAGAACTGCCCCGAAAAGGGATCCTGCTGCTTCTCCCATCGCTCTCTTCCCTCTCTTGTTCCCAGGCTCGGTCGAGAAAATGCCCTGTGGGCCTGTGGAAGGGAATGTGGGACTGTCAGCTCAGCAGCTTCTCCCGCTGCCGGGCTGAGGGCACCGTCCCAGCCGTGCCGCCTCGGCTCCCCTTCGGCCAGAGCCCCCTGGTCTCTCCACTGGTCACAGCAAAAAGAAATCGGTGAGCTCCCTTGGGAGGGCCGGGGCAGGGCTGGAGAGGCTCAGCCCCTCGCCTCGAGCAGGCACTGGCTTTTCCTCTCTTCCCTCTCCCCTTTCACATCCCCTCTGGTCTCCTTTGGGAGTGAAATTCCTTCCCCCAAGGTCTAAACCCTTGACCAGGCAGCAGCTCCACTGCCGTTGGTGCTTACCTGTGGGTATAACCGGGGTTGCCAAACTGAGACAAAAACTCGTGGCTGTCTCAGCGTCCTGCTGGGATTTCTTCTGATTTTTTTTTTTTTACAAATGGGGTTCAGCCCCAGGTGGGTAACGGGCAGCGGGGTGGCCTCTGCCCCTGCACAGGATCTGCAAGGAGGCGGGGAGGGTTGCAGGAGTCTGCAGGGCTGCAGAAGCATTTGCACTTTGGTGGGGAAGGGGGGTTGAGGAGATGATGCTGAAGCTGAGGGGCTGTGCCCGTTTTGGGGCTCTCCCCGGCCCTCTCTGTGCCCATTTTGGGGCTCTCCCCGGCCCTCTCTGTGCCCATTTTGGGGCTTTCCCCGGCCCTCTCTGCACCCCACTTGCAGAACCAGGCTAAAGGAGCGGGGCTGGCCCCTGAGAACGTGTGTGTGTGTGTCCCCTCTGCACCCTCAAGCCCAGCTGGTAAAGACAGGGAGGAATGCACCTGGTGTCTCCCCTTTCTGTGAGAAGTTTGTTGTGTTTGAACCCAATTAATTAAAAATTAAAACCCCCCGTCCCCTGCTCGCTTGTTGAGGGAATAAAGGCTGAGGGGTGGAGGGCTCTGTTTTCCTGGTTGTTCCCTGAAATCCTGTAGAAAATCCTGCTGGAGTTTGTTTTGTGGTTCCTGCCTGCTTTGGGGAGGGGAGGGCCGCCACCCCCACCCCCCCACCCCCCCCCCAGCAAGTTGTGGGGTGTGTGTGTCTCAGCCACGGCGGTGGAGGAGGCTGCAACGGCCGCACTGGTGAAGCCCGCGTGAGTGTTCCCCACCCTGAGCTGAGCTGACCCCCCCCCAACCTCTTTGTGCCCGCCCCCCCCCGTGGGGACGGGGGGTGCCCCCATCCCTGCCTTCACCTGCTTTCCCCCCCCCCCCCAAGCCCTCCAGCGCAGAGGCCTTCAGCTCCTGCACAGCCCTGGCTTTGTGCAGCAAAGCCCACCCTCCTCCTCCTCCTCCTCAGCACTGCGGCAGTGCCGTGGTGTCCCCCCGGGGGGAGGGGGGGAATATTCAGGCAGTGATTTCACCGGGGGGGGGGAGCTGGGGGGATCCAGCCAGCTTGGAGGGGGGCAGCTGTGGCTTGCAGGCCCCCCCACCTGCCTCCTGAGGTCCTGGAGGCTGAGCACCTCATATCAACCCCAGGGGTAGGGACACACACACACACACACATATTCCCCCCCCTCATGATGTCGGTGACCCCCCCCCACTACACTCAATGTGGTGGAAGGGGCTAAGGGGGGGTGGCGGTGTGTCATGCGTCTGTCCGTGTCCCGTTTCCCCCCCCCCAGTTCGGGGAAGGGATCCCCTATTACAAGGGAGAGGATATTGGGGGAACCCAGTGCAGGGTGGGGCTTCTCCAGTTGCAAAGAAGGGATTAATGGGGGGAATCCCTGAGGGGGGGGGGACGGGATTTCCCCCCCCCCCCAGTGCAAGGGCGGGGTTAATAGGGGACACCCCCCCCCCCCGTGGCAAGGGAGGGACACCCCAACCCCCCCATTCCAAGGGCGGGATGTGGGGGAATCCCGCGGTTCGGGAAGGGATCCCCAGGGCACGGAAGGGGTTAATGGGGGAACACCCTCCCCTGCACTGGGGCGGGGGGGGGGGGGTGGGTGGGTGTCCGTGTGTCCCCCTCAGCGAAGGGGTTACCGGGGTGTGGGGAGGGGGGGTCCCCGCCGCGGGGGGGGCGGTGGAGAAGGGTGGGGAGATTCCCCGCCCTGCCCCGCCCCGGGGATTCCCCCTCCTTTTCCATTCCCCACTCCCCCCCCCGGGGCGGGAGAGTGGGGGAAGAAATTGGGGGGGGGGGGGGGGGGGGGGGGCGACGCTGCTATGGCAACGGGCTGCTCCTCTGCGAGGGGGGCGGGGGAACCCGCGGTGGGGGGGCGGTCACGCGGCCGCGGGATCCTCGCGCAGCCGCGCAGGGCATCCCCACCCTCCCCTCCGTGGGGTCCCCCCCCCTCCGCGCAGCCCCCTCCCCGTGTCCGTGTCGTGTGTGTGTGTGTCCCCCGCACACTGCAGCACCGTGCACGTAGCGCAGCCCCAGCACGGAGCTGGGCGTGCAATCCACCCCACCCCCCCCCCCCGCGCACAAAGCCACGCGTGCAATCCCTTGCACACACACCCACGCTCGCAGCTGTGGGTCTCCCCCCACTCCCCCCCGCCGCACACACCACGAAGCCCACCCTGTGTGTGCACGCGCCTGCGCGCTGCAGCCCCTATAGCTGGGCACTGCGCTTACACCCCCCCGCACCCCTCTGCACCCCTGTGCACCATCCTGCACCCCTCTGCACCCCCCCGCAAACTGCTGCACCCCCCCCGCATCCCTATGCACCCCCGTGCACCCCCATGCACCATCCTGCACCCCCCCCCGCACCCCCGTGCACCACCCCCGCATCCCTCTGCACCCAGCTGCACCCCTGTGCACCCCCCCGCACCCCCATGCACCATCCTGCACCGCCCCACACCCCTCTGCACTCCCCTGCACCCCCCTGCACCCCTATGCACCATCCTGCACCCCTCTGCGCCCCCCTGCACCCCCCGCACCCCTCTGCACCCCCCCCGCGCTTTCTTCCCCGCACACCCACAGCCCCCCCACCCGGGGCAGGGTGCTTGCACACGTGTGCCACGCTGTCCAAGGTGGGGGGGGGGCCAGCACCCACCCACCCCAGCCACCCCCCCACCCCTGCCTGTACCCCGCCGCTCCCACCCCGCTTGTCCACCGTGAGTGCAACACACTCCGAATCGGGGGGGGGGGGGGGCACCCCAACACCCACCAGGCCGGGGGTGGGGGGGGTTCTAGGTCCCCACTGGTCACACACACACACACACACACACACACACACACACACACACACACACACCGTCCCCCCGTGCCACAAACCGAGGGGTGGGGGCCGGCGGTTCCCAGTGCCAGGCCAACTGGGGAGGGGGGGGTTACTGAGGGGAGTTGGGTCAGAGCTGCGGCAGCTCCCACTGTCACGGGTGGACCTGAGCGGGGCAGGAAACCCCGTGGGTGCTCGGTCGCCCACGTCCCCGCAGATGTGGGTGATTAAAGCCCGAGGGGGGGGTGGGGGGGGGCGGTGTGAGGGGGGTGCGAGCAGTGGCTAAATTTAGTTTTCAGACAATAGCCGCGCGGGCCGCGAGGAAGCGGGAGCGCGCGGCTGCGCGTGTGAGCGGAATTCGCAACGCGCCGCATCGCCCCCCCCCCCCCTCCCTCCGCCTGCGCGCTGGGGAAACCGAGGCACGAAGCGGCGACGTGGGGCCAGGCGGGACCGCGGGGCCCACGGCGAGGCACCCCGCCACCCCCGGCCCCCCACTCGTCCCTTCGGGCCTGCCAAGCTTCCCGGCCACCCCGGCTCACCGCCGCGCCGGCACGTGCCGACACCAGGCCATGGTCAGCGGCGGCAGCGCGCGAGGGGAGCGGAGGCCGGGTTCTGGCTGCAGGTGGGTGCGCTGGGGGGGGAGTGGGGAGTGGGTTGGGGGGTGAGGTGGGTTGGGGGGAACACACACACCCCCCCCCCCCAAGTCATTATTGCCTGGGCACTTGGCGGTGCTGGGGAAACACCACCCACCCCTCCCCTCACTGGCTCTTGGGGATCCCCCCAGCTTCTAGGGATGCCCTTGCTTCTGGGGGCCCCCCCTGCTTCTAGGGACCCTCCCCCCGCTTCTAGGGACCCCCCTGCTTCTGGGGGCACCCCCCGCCCTCGCTTCTAAGGACCTCCCTGCTTCTGGGGACACCCCCCCCCCCTTCTTCTAGGGACCTCCCTGCTTCTAGGGACCCCTTCACTTCTGGGGATCCCCCCCCTCCCTGCTTCTAGGGACACCCCTGCATCTGGGGACCCCCCCCCACTACTTCTGGGGATGCCTCCCCACTTCTAGGGACCCCCTGCTTCTGGACACCCCCCCGCACTTCTGGGGACCGCCCCTGCTTCTGGGGATGCCCCCTCCTTCTAGGGACCCCCTCAATTCTGGGGCCCCCCCTGCTTCTAGCGACCCCTCTGCTTCTGGGGACAACCCCCTGCTTTTGGAGACCCCACACACACTTCTGGGGACTCCCCCTGCTTCTAGGGACCCCCCTGTTTCTGGGGATGCCCCCTCCTAGGGACCCCCCTGCTTCTGGGGATGCCCCCTCCTTCTAGGAACCCCCTCAATTCTGGGCCCCCCTCCCTGCTTCTAGCGACCTCCCTGCTTCTGGGGACAACCCCCCACTTCTGGGGAGCCCCCCTGCTTCTAGGGACCCTCCCTGCTTCTGGGGATGCCCCCTCCTTCTGGGGACCCCCCCTGCTTCTGGGGATGCCCCCTGCTTCTAGCGACCCCCCTGCTTCTGGGGGGACACCCCCTGCTTCTAGGGACCTCCCCCGCTTCTGGGCCCCCCCCGGCTCATGGGGATCCCCAGTGGAGCGGGGCGGCGGTGGGGGGGAATACCGTGAAGTGTGGGGAGTGGCTGCCTCCAGGGCACCCCGAGGATGTCCGTGTGTGTGTGTGTGCGCGCGCACGCCCCGGCCCCCCCGCGGCGGGGAGCTTGGGGGGGGGGGGGGGCGTGGATTGGAGGGGGGGGGCGCGGGAGGCAGCCCACGACGGTGACAATGAGGACGCGATGGGAGTGACTCTTCCCAGCTAAAAATATCCTCCTCCCCCATCCTCCGCCAGCGCCGCGGCCTCAAGGTCACTGCCCGCCTTGGGGGGGGGGGGGGGGGGGGGGGGGGGCCGAGCCGGGGGGGGGGGAGCCGTAGGGCGGGGAAGCCCCCCCGACCCCCCTTCACACACCCACCCCACCCCCCCACGCTGCACCACGGCTCCCACACGCGCCCGGGCACGGCCACCGTCACGGAGGCTGCTCCACCACGCAGGGAGCTGCGAGCGGCCGTGGCCCCCCCCCCGCCTGCACCCCGGCACATGCCCACCCCCCCGCCCCCGGGGCACCCCGGCTCGTCCTGACGCTCCCCGTTAACACGGGGCCGTGGCAAGTGAGCGGGCGCGGCGGGGCGATGGGGGGGGTGGGGGTGGAAAGTGTGGTCGGCGGTGGTGGTGGCGACCCAGGGGATGGCTGGGTGCCTGGGTGGGGGGCACCCAGGGGACACCGGGGACACCCTGCCTGCGGTGGATGGGCCGCTCTGGGCAATCCCCAGCTGCCGGAGTCAGGGGACGGCGGTGGGGAGGGGGGGGTGTCTTGGTCCTCGTGGGGCTGGAGGCCGTGAGGCTGCGGAGGGGAGAGCAGCTGGGCTGGGTGAGGGGCCGGGGGTCCCCGGTGCTCCCTGGTGCTCCCCAGCATTGGGGTCCGGCTGCCGGCACAGCCCCGGCGGGACACGGCACCGGGACGGCTCCGGTCGGGGGAACCAGCCCCGCTCTGCACCCAGCTCAGCACCCACCCGACCCTGGGAGCCCCCACGCCACAAACAGCCGCGGTCCATCCGGCTGTGACACTGGGAACCGGCCGTGGCACAGCCGGGGAGCGCCGGGATCTCGGCCCGTGACCGGTACCGGGTCCGTGTGCCGTGTTTGCCGGTGCCAAATCCGGGGCTGA